TCTGTGGAGCTCGAACCCGCATCTCGAATTTTGCCAGCCTGTGCTTGAGGCGACAGCTAGGGGGTACGGCAACGACCGTCGTGAATAAGTTACCCGATGTGATATAGCGCCGCTCACTATCTACTGACTAGCAAGTTTCTGTCTTGCAGAGGACAGCGTAGTCCCCTCACCAAGCGACGGACTAAAGCCGCCAATTGACTTATTGCGTTCCAAGCAGTCTGATCTGCGTACTGATCACAAGAGAGTAGTAGTAGGATTTCAATGGTATAAGCAGAAGTTTGCCACTTTTAGGCCCAGTCAAACAGCCATCACACGCCCGAAAGTGCACTGTATGACCGTTTCATCCTTTCGGGAATCGTCAGCAGTACGCATTCCATTTGGTGGTACCTGTAGATCAGGAACCCTAACCCACAGTAGACGCTTACACACTTCATTGGGCAATACACTGAGTGGACAAACTACCCAAAACTTACCTTATCAGTTCGAGACTATTGAATCATCGGATTCGGTATTGGACTACCCATTAGCACAGACAAATGTTTTCTACCTTAAGTGTCATGATCTATGAATACGGCTGAAAAGCTAGGCTAACGGCGGTTTGCTTGTTTTTTCATGAGCGTTGCTTACCGATGCTTAATCACGGTTCCTTGTCTCGCAATCTCTCCGACTACCACATCGCTTGTTTTGGCAAACGTTCAAACCTTGTCATACAGAACTGCAACACGGACAGTCCTTTGGTAATGAAATGAGGCATTTCTCTGTAATGTGTTCTTACACTTCGGCAATGTCGTCTGCTCTTAGCGTCTCATTCGTGCTTTGAGACATCAACACTCTTCTATGGTAACATACAGCGTTATTTCGCAATGATGTTTGACCTTGAATGTCTGCTCTTTGTGAGCATTAGCACCTTATGGTAACTACGGAGTGCTTCCGAAATCGTGCCGCACAGTCACTACAGCTGAGAGTGTGAGTTGGAGCCGCGACTCGCCTACGTGACAAATCCCTCGTTTTCACGCTTCGTAGGCTCCAAGCACTGATGGTATGCAATGAACAGCAAAGTTTCTCAACAGAGCCGGGGTAATGGTGTGAGCGATCATACCAAATATTTGGCCCCATGAACACTTCTCATTCTACATAGAATTCGGCCCAGTTGTCAATGCACAGGTTTTTACAGGCGTGTTTATTCACAAACAAGCCTCTGCTTATTTTGCAATATGAATCGAACTAAGCACCAATTGGGGGGTGAAGAAAATCTGTGTGGTTCTGCTGCCTGGTTGTTTGCTAGAACTGTGGATCAACGGTATAGCAAGATATCCTGATGTGCAGTTGGGCAAGTGGTTAACAAACCGCCTTAGTAACTTTTCCGGCTATCGCAACACCATCTTCATTATCGCATTTTTTCTCGCTACAAGATTGTCACAGTTCTTGACATGCCTCGTCTGAACTCCGCTTGGTGCATTACAACACCTGGCCCATCAGGTCGACAGACATGAAGAGGCTCGTCATATTCGATCATCGTTGCCTTCGCAGCTTAGCTCATGTCTAGTGGGAACACCGCGTGAGCAATGAGCGTGTTCGACGTCGCGTATTTGGTGCAGGAAGAGCGAGTGAACCGCTCAGCACCTTTAATTTACGCACCAGGCTCCGATGGCTGGGCTACGTGTTGCGCATGCCAGCACACCGACTCCTGCGACGTGCATTGTGGATGCGATTGGAAGAGAAGGAGGGGAGGCCAAGTGATGACTTGGTCGAGAGAAATGAAAACCCTCACTTCGAAGTTGGCGTCGGTTGGTGCATCCCGACTGCCTGGTTGGGGTCCTAAGGACGGTGAACACGTTTGGTTGGACACACTTGCTGATATGGCTCGGAGCCGGCATCAATGGCGTTTGTGTTGTGATTTCCTTCGTCCATCCCCCTCCAATCACGATCTCACTTGATAGGCATAATACGAGTTTCTTTTACGGCAGCCAGCTGTTAGCTCTCCGGTACGATGTCCATCCGTTACTGGGGACTCAGCGGGCGTACCACTGTTTGCCACTGTTTTCCTTTTCTTGTCTTTTGTATTGCGGCACAATAGCTGAGGTGTTTTCCACCTCCAGCTAACGTGTAATGATGATGATGATGATGCATTACAACACCACCATCACCACCACCAACAACAACAGCAACCCCAGGTCATTATGTCCATCACTTTATTCTGCATTTCTCTCATTCATCGCAATTAGATTACAAACCAACGACACACTAAATACATCCCACTAAATCCATTTACTCATGGGTATTCTGCATTTGTATGATAGACTAATATTGTTTCTGGTTTTATGTCGACATTGAGGGCTTGCGAATCGCCAATGACGAACGTGACCACTCGGAGGATGGCTAACTCTCTCCTAACAGTTCTTTCTTAACCACAAACCTGGGAAACTTCTTTCCCTTTTGCAATTTTTCCCCCTTGACTCCCGACGCCTGGTAATGGTGTACGGAAGCTGTCTTGATTTCCCTTCCACAGGGTTGTCCTGTATCTCCTATCCTTTTTTACTCTATGATAGAAATGAGCATAAGCCTTTGCGTTCTTTCAGACTTTTACGGAGTCGAAGCTCTTCTAGGTGCCCGATTGACAAGCCGTGTATGTGCGCACGATATAGTTCCCCTTGGGTTGGACGCAGGAGCTACACATTCACTACTGAGTAGTCTGAATAGCGCCGTCCGCAAGGTATTGCTATATGGCTGGGTCCACACGCCGCCGGTTCTTGCTATCAGCGAATAGGAACAGGATGTGATTGGTCAGTTCAATCACCTTGATAATTTTATCCTCTTTGATGTCTAGTGTAAAGTTTGTGGCGCTACGATAAGACCGATGTTGTTGTATCCTTAAGAGATGTGGCCTGTCCGTACTGCGAACTTCAAGTGATTGACTGTCTTTGATCATTGATGCCCGCGGAGTATTGCTCACGCTTAATGTGAACACCGGTTGAGGTTCACCGGTTGGTTTTTGACAAGAAGCCTTTTGGTACCTCACTCGAATGTTTGCTGAATCTTAACCGCTTACCTTGGCTCGGCCGTGTCCGTATAATCGTTGAACGACTTCTCCGGTGTTCACTTAACGCCGCGGCTGCACCAAGTTGGACGAAACCACGAGGTGACTAGTGGATGACGTGAAATAAAGGCATGAAGAAATTGACTGAGAAATTAGCTCAGGCTGGTGCATGCCTTCTTCGTAGACGAAGGCCGCGGTATGGTTCACAGCAGTGACCCGATCGAATGTGACACATTCGCGTAGTCTGCGACAATCCTGCATTCGGTTTCTCGCACCTGGTTGTTAATTTTCGTTCCCATTTCGATTATTTTACCGCACCTATTTCCGAATTCCATTTTCTTTCTATTCTCCTTGTGTTTTATCTCATTTTCCCTTCCATTTTATAATTATAAATGCCTGAAGAGATTTGTCCAAAAGTGTACTCTTCGCGAAATTGTTCTTGTATTTCCATGGGTATCATTTTCCACATTCGCTTATTCTTGTCCTAGCTACCTGAGTTGTGACAACTAGATCCACCGCACTTCGGTGCTGGGATCATAATTATTTAACTGAATTGAACTCCTTGACGGTGATAACTTCGTCGTTCGATTTCTTAATCTTTGTTTCTGCTTCCCATCCATTTGTGTTTCTCTCTCTTAGGGGACGGGGTTGTTATCGATTTCATTTGTGTTTAGGTGCTCTTTCATGCAGAATACCTCAGTTTCCTCATAATATCGGTTTAATTGAACAACTGTGATCCGGGCACCGGAGTGAGGTGGATCCAATTTCCCCGACTCGCGTCGCCATAATAACAATAGTTAACAGTGGTAAGGAAGTAGTGTTGAACGCGAATACAATACAAAGGAAATGGAGTCAGAACAAAGTGTAAAAAATTAATCGGAATAGAAATTAACGGCTAGATGCAAGAAACCGAACGCAAAAACGCCACTGACTGCGCGACTGTGCCATATCTGATAGAATCTGCTACCCCCTGGTGTGCACCTTCCCTGCGTGCACCAGCCTGACGAAGGGTCTCATCATCTCACACATTAGGTAGAGATTCAAGACACGTCAGCTATTGTGACTCACAAATTTCCAATTCGAGTGCGCCCTCGGACTCTCGGTTGTATCCGAAACCTTTTGTCAACAGCCCAAGGATGGACATAGCGCCAGCAAAATCAATTGGCAAACTATGGAAGGTGCAGTTATCTTAAAAAGAAAGAGTAATCCATGATTTTGTTGGAGAGCGCGGTACTATTCAGTTGCCCAAGCCGAAGTAGAGCAGGCCAGCCTTAGTTTTGGTCTAAATTACCTACTCACAATGCAGCGCGGAGCGAATTCAGGGAATTGCACCCACTGAAAAGCCAGTGCCTGGTTGTTCAGTTCACACGCCCTTCATTTGGTCGGTTACCAAATAACGGCTCAATCTTCTGCATAACATCAGCAGCAGGCTGGTGGGATGCAATGTTCCAGTAGTGTGAAGCTGTGCGCAGTGAGTTTATCTAGGGACAAGTCACATCCGTCACATCATATTGTTGTTAAAAGGACATGTGACCTTTTCTAGGGAGAACGCTTTCCGGGCGCAAGCCCGCTACATCCTGAAACACCCGTTTGCTGAAACGGGATAATCCCAAATCGCGCCCATTTGGCACCTTTGAAGATTCTGGTTGCTGCCGATCCTCTCCTTACCGACTTCGTTTCTTTTTCATTCCTATCACTATTACTGTCAACAGCACGGCGGAACATAGCCCCATCCACCGCTGTTCGGATTGCAGTGGGGCAAATTAGCTGAGCGAAATCTCCCACGTAATTTCAGCGTGTATGGTTGCACGCAGCTATCTTTAAATGAAGCTTATATTTGAGTCAAATGTCTCCACCGACGTATTTTTTCAAATCTACACCTGCTCTGATTTGGAATAATTCGATTTCCAGCTGGGTAGCATTGTTGTACGATGAAATTCTTCCATCTTCCTTGTGCATCCAGGATGAAGTGGATGATAAAGGGTGGGGATGCGCTTATCGGTCCCTTCAAACTCTCATCTCTTGGCTTATGTGGCAAGGTGAAGTGGAAGCCAAGCGGATTCCCACTCTGACCGAGATTCAGACCTCCCTGGTTCGTTTGGGGGACAAGTCAAAGGCGTTTATCGGTTCACATCAATGGATTGGATCGGTCGAGGTAATATGTCTCTCATTTTTATCACACCGTGTTTTCATGCTGTCCAGCTGGATTGCCTTGTCGTTTATTTGGGCTTACTGCCGGTCACCTGTTTCGTATTGTTCCAGTAATGGCTGCGACGTTTCTGATGTTTTTTGCCACGTTTTACTTTGTCCATCTGCTGGTTATAAAATCGATACTGGGCGATTGGGTTTTTACGATTAGTCGGATCATTGTGTAATGATATTCAAGCTTGCAGTTATCTTGCGATGGAACTCACTTGATGCTATTCTCATCGTTTCCCCTCCTACCCCGGATTAATTATTGCATCGTAGCGATGCTTTTGTAAATTAGACTTGAACACTAATCGCCCTACCCAAGAAAGTGAACCACCTTCATTGTTACTAGCTGGGGTAAATATCCGCACGTTGCACCGATACATCACCACTATAGAATTACGAGTCGTGAGAGTTCACTGTTGTAAAGATAAAGGACAGCCTAAACACTCCAAGTTCGTGAAGCCTGTATCATACCAGCACTGCACGGCTGTGGACACTGAGGTTCGTGCGATGATGGAGTAGGCATCGATGAGGCGACATCTGACTTTCCATTGCGTTTGTTATGGTCAGCCTTGTCACACAGTTAACTACTACAGAAGCGTACGCACTTGAAGTAGCTAGTTCTGTTGCAGAACGACTATTATTATTCACTTGCGCGGGATCACGTCGCTGATTCCTGCACGGTAGCAGCATATTGCAGCTGCACTACATCTTATCCGAGTGCGATACGCTCCCTGTACCTGTAGTGCGCAACGTGGGCGTCAAGGAATCTCGTAAATTTCAATACCGATTTCGCCTCGACTAGTGTCTCCTGCAATTTGCTCCAGTATTTCACCACTCTACGCTCGAAGCATAGAGGGTGAGCGATGCACTTTAAATCCGGTACCATTAGTTTGTACCGGTGTCTGCGTGTGCTGCTTGATGCACGAACGTGCAGCAGCGGCTTCAACATAGGGATGAAGGCCAGGTGCAGTATCCAGTGCGTCATAATGAGATCAGCTCGAAGCCGATGATACGACAGGTTATAAAGCCCTAGTCTCCTACATCTGTCCTCGTACTACATACCCCGTAAGCTGCGGATGAGCCGGATAACTACATGCTAGATCCGTTCCAGTCTCTGCACCTCACCTATTCTGATCTGGCAGCAAGCGGGTGAGCCGTACTCAAGCACCGGTCTTATTATGGAAGAGAACAGTTGAGTGCAATCTCTTCAGACCAAGCGCAGAAGCTACTTCGAAGTGCCCAAAGCAGGCGTAGTCCGTTTGCGTACAGTCTTCGTGTTGTCGATAGACTTCAGATCAAAGCGTGAGAGTACGCATAGGTCCTTTAAGGAACTGGTGGGATACAGCGGGTGGCCAGCCAGGGTGTACACACGCCCATTACTACCCCTCCCCAGGCTCTTAAACGAGGACTTGGCCGTGTTGTCCCGTAGGTCAACTTCTGTAGACCACCGGGATAGGCGGTTGAGGTCTTGCTGAAGGACGGCACAGTCGCCAGGAGAATCAATAATCCTCCAAATCTTCAGTCCATCCGCAAATAATACGCAGGGCGCACGAAGAAGCTGAGGTACTTCGTTGATGTGGATCAGGAATAAAATGGGCCCCAGTACTGTGCCTTGGGGTACGCCGCTAGTGGACGGGTATTATTCCGTTAGGCGGTCATCCACCTGAACTTGCCATCTCCCAATAGGGAAGTCACTGATCCACTGGTGCAGTGCGCCACCAATACCACATCCTCAGCTTGTGGAGCAGGACCTCATGGTTCACTTTATCCAAAGCTTTACTGAAATCAGTGTAGATAACATGCACTGACTTCCCCCGATTCGACGCTTTCAACCATTCCTGCCGCGTCAACAGCAAGTTGGTAATGCACGAGCGACCCTTCATGAAGCCGTACTATGCCTGCGTTAGATCTTTCGACTCCGGCAACTGGAGACCTTTTTTCACAACCTTCTCGAGCACCTTCGCCAAAACAGAGATGAGACAAATCGGCCGATAATTGTCCACATTGCATGAGTCATCACCTTTTGGAATCGGCTTCACTACCGAGCATTTCCAGTCGCTCAACAATGCACCCTCGGACAGCGATCTTTTGAACAGATCCGTCACGGCAGACGAAATGATGGCCGATAAGGACTTCAAAATTAGCGGCTGAAGTCCATCGGGTCCGGCAGGTTTTATGCCATCAAGACCGGCGAGTAGAATGCGGACATTTTCTACACCGCAATCATGGCCCTCGGCTTCAGTAGGGGCTACGCACGTCATGGTCGGCATAGGCGCATGCCCACTTGCAATACAGAAGCGAAGTGCTCCGCCAATGCGGACGCACATTCAGTGCTGAAGATCAAAGGCTGTCCGTCAGTGCCCTATAACGCAGCTATGTCACTTGAGGTCCCCAGGCGCTGCTTCACGTAAGCAAAAATCTTGGGGGCCGTCTTCACTGAGGTTGCAAGTTCCTCTTCAGACTACCAATGCTTTTGCGCTGTTGTATAGATTCCGCTGCATTTTGTACGCCTCATAATCATCGGCGGAGCAAGACACGAGGGTTTTATTTCACGATTCGCGTCGCCGTCGAGGCAATTGACTATACTCTCTGTCAAACCAATTTGGCTTCACTGGTCCAACTTTCCGATACTTAAGGGATACGAAACGAGAGCACAGCGATTGCACATCCTCTTTTATAACAGACCAACAGGCTTTAACTGATGAATCCTGCGGCAGCGACCAGTCTACTTCACTGGCGGCTGGATTTAGACCATTGAAGTCGGTCTTCCAATAATTGTTGGACGGCTCCGGCAGGAACGAGTAGGGTAGCGGCAACTGTAGGCTGGCTGACACTATCGAGTGGTCACTAGCTGCCAAATGCCCCAGGACCTTAGTTTCATGTACCCGCTGCTCACAACTCGTTAGTAATAGGTCCCGGCACAATGGAGCGGAATGCGGTGTAACGTGCGTCGGTTGGCAGACATCTTGTGCTTCACCAGTTTCAAATACCATCTCCGCAAACTGCGCTTCGACTTCACATTGTCCGGGGAGAAGTTGAACCTCAGTTACCGTATTCGAGGGAAGTTAAAATCACCCATAAGCAGGAAGTGGAGCCGACTCACGTAGTCTCTGACATGCAGCAACCAATGCAGTCATCGACTTCGTGGGCTGCGATAAGCTGCACCCATAAACAGTTCACCCAGTCTCAGGCGGATCGAGCCAAAATAATTGTTTGCATAGACCATCTTAGCTGCGGTAGATGTGTACCAGTCACCCGCACAGCGAGGACCGAATTTATAACTGCACGCCGTCTCGACATTTTGATAGTCTGTCGCACCGGAAGCACGAGTAGCCATTGATCTGGACTTCCTGGGTAGTGACCTCAGCATTTAACCAGGTTTCGGCCGGTTCTTATACGTCCGGACGACGAGAGGCGACGAAATGAATACGTCGTCATGTTTGTTCATTAAACTACAAACATTTGTGTAAGCTACTCGCAGGCCGCGGTAGGAACCAGCAGACGCGTGAAGAGTCATCGGTCTGTTGATTGGGGTTTGGCAGATCCGGGGAACTACCCGAAAATTTACGATTTTGAGGTTGCTTTCTCCACTATCAGTCCGCCGCGTCAAATCCACCATAACGGACCTCAGTTTCTCTCTGTCCGACGGACCCATATCGGTACGAATATGGATCTTTAGACTTCTTAGCCTACCGAGGCGGGATAATAGCAGCCTCGGACTCGTTGCATCAACAAAGGTGACTCGCAGAGGCCGGGATTTCCCCTCCTCTCTTTCCAAGGCGGGTGATTTACTTCACCCGTAACCCCTGTTCATTCACGTCAAGAAGCCTATCAATCAGGCTCTGCAGAAAATCCACGTCGTGGTCACAACGAACCTGAGGACTAGCATCAGTCGAATCAGGCGCATGAAATATCATGAGATTACAACGCCGCTGATTCCTGGCAGTTCTCTTCTCTTTTTTGCTTCGCTGCATTCTCTGTTGGCCTTCGACGCCTGCGCTATCGCACACCGGTATGTTAGTGTCCGTAGAACGCAACACAGGCACACCAGCTGAGTCTCCAGCAACGGGTGGACATCGCGCCGGAGAGCCTGCAGCCGGTGTGTAGGTGGGCTCGTTCGAACATTGAGGTGGCTGCGTTTCCGCTTGCTTGGATGAACCCACCGAGCTCCTCCCTATGGAACGTTTCGCCCGTCTTTTAGGCTCGCGCGGCTTCTTGGCTGTTTGACTGCACATTGTCTTGCCATTTCTTGCACAATATGTGGACAAAATCATGCTGAATTTCACGCAATAGTTTAAAATGATCTAAAGACAAACCAGTACACCAAGTGTGGAAATTCACATCACACATGAGGCATGTAACAGCATTGGCTCTATGCCCAACTATTTTGCAACAAGTGCCACAGGAAGTCAGCTTCGTCATTACTGATAGCTTAGCAGATATGGCACTAAAGGTTGGTAAAGTGAACAATAAGTACACGATAAAAGTATCGGAGTAAAGTATACGGACACGAAACTAGCACACAATAACCGAGTTCAGAATTGCAAAAGAAACTGAATTTGACAAAAATAAACACGAAAAATCTGCTCTACACAAAGTAATGAACGATGCAAACTGGCCTGTACAATAGAGCGAGAAAAGCCGTCCGGCGAGCGCTATTCGCACTTCATACCCTCTAACATCTTAAATCAAATATTGGGGCTCTAGCTTGGAAGGCGAAGCGGACCGATAGCACAAGGATTGCATCAATATTTCTTTCTGTCAGGTGAATGGCCGCCTTTCTCAAAACTTGGGCCGTTCAGCTTAAGGTAATCAACATGAAACTCTTTTTGTCAGCTGATAAGCGGCTTCACTTGACACCTGTTCCAAACACAAGTTGACGAGACAAACGGATTCTGATCGCCGAGTGCTCATATGTGTGCACTCCATCGATGCGGACACGTGGCAGTTGCTCGGTAC